AAAAAAAAGCTTCTTTCTCTATGTTAATTACAAAAACGTAAGAAAATAAAACAGTGGTTAGAGACCTTAATTATCAAATAAGATATGAAACTATATGCTTTGGTGGTAAATAAGAGGTTCTCAAATTAAAATCAACACATGCAATTAACTTGCAAAATGGACAGCGAAAATGGAAATATACAAAAATTCGTATGAAAACCTCAGAAGCTTAAAAGTACACAAACTAATACACTTTATCCAAAAAAGAGGGGGGGGGGAATTCGTTAGGAACATATTTTAATTACATAAAATACGATATACATTATTTATGAAATAATTTTTGCAAATAAAATTTTATCTGATGCCATAATTTATACAGTTTTATCACTTTTTTATACCTTCACAAAAATCGTAAATTTTCATTCATTATGATCTTTCAATTCACTAGTTTTTGTTATTATTATAAACTTGGTTTACCCAAAAGACAAGATGTGATGAAGCTATTTACTTACCAATCTGGCTAACGTAAACTTAGCTTTGATATTTTGTTACAACAAAAAAGCTGGTCAAAAGCCCAAAACTATAAAAAAAACATGTTACTTGAAAACAAATATTGTACTTTACGTTATTTTAGTGCAACATTTGTCCTCATCCATTTATTTGTTTATGACTTAGCCTCAAAATATTTTCACAAGGAGGAATTAGATTATGTAAACAAATCTATATGTACAAGCTAATGATATTTTCTTACCTATATCTTTAACTCCTAAAATCAGCACAGGAAATGGTACATCTCTCTTACAAAGTGCAATTAATCTCAATAGATTGGTCTTTTATGAAATTCGCGCAAAGCTACATGAGGGCTATCTACACTAACCGTCCATAGTTTAACAGTGGAAGACAGCTAGTCATCACCACTCACTGCTAACTCTTGGACTACTCTTTTAGCAACTTTTACAACAGAAAATACAATATCAAAAGAACATTCTAATTGCAATAACAATATTAAAATTAACCAACCATATTACTGACTATTTAGAAACAGTATCAATGGAGGAAGAAATAAAATTAAATTACATATGCCTTTTTTAAACATTCTATTTATAAGTTTATTAGAAATTTAGTTTATTGCAAACGTTGATTAAGTATATAGATAGACTGTAATATTTAAGATGTGGGAGACTTTTTTTTGAGTACCAGTCGAAGGTTAAAATTACCATTAAAAATAATAGTGAATCCTAAGTAAGTTATTGGATGCTCAGTTTCATAGCGGTATTTTTCATTCACCAAATTGGATGGACTTCAAAGTGTCTTGCTTGACCTAAATGATACTCCTAAATGCTTATGGATGCGGACAGGAAAATGACAGTTTTTCTGATCATCACATATGTATTTATAAGCAATTCAATAGTATGGAGAGGTAGTAGACAATCCTTTAGTTTCAAGAGATGATATGATCTAAAGGATGATTTGAAAATGAAGATCTATCTTATTAATAACTTAAGATCTTTAGCAAGAATTTTTTTTTTGGTGTACTAGATAGGGGATGGTCAATGAAATTGGGTATATTCAAGTTATTTGTTCAGAAATATTTTGGTTAAGCTTTCAATCATTGTATTAAGATACTTATTATACAGTAGTTTTCGTGGAGATTTACAATTTCATAATGTAAAATAAGTTGAACATATCTTAAAGGCTAGAGTTAGTAGACATGCTGCTAGGTTGATCTTATATCTTACAGGAATAAAACTGTCAAACTCGGTGAGATGTCCTGCAAATGTTTTCTTTCAATTTATGGACACTGAAAAACCTTGTACATCTTGGGTAATTAACACATCTAGAAAAGGTAAAGTATTCTGCTCTTCAATTTCAAAGGTAAAATTTATAGATGAATGATGTGAGTTTAAGTACTCAAGATGGTTGAACTTGATCTTTTGATAAAAAAAAATGATGAAAGTATCATCAATGTAGCATTTTTAGAATATTGGTTTGAAGTTTTCTGGGTGGTTGTTCAACAAAGATTGTTTGTGGTTGCTGAGAAAAGTGTTAGTTAGAATTGTCCCCAATGGGGACCCTATAGCCACTTCATTAATTTAGTCATACAATTTTATATTAAAGTATATAGAATGGTTGTTTTTCCAGCATGAGTAATTAAGAATCTGAGTTATTCCCTAGTTCAACTGTAAACAGGAGATTCCTCTTGAAATAGTTTTTCTAGGCAAGTGTCTGTGACCTCATCCAATGGAATGTTTATGAATAAAGAAGTTCCATTAAAGCTACCATAAACATTCATTAGGAGGATGTAGGAACTCTTTTTTTTAATATGTGAGCGAGTCCAAGGTAGTAAATTCATTAAATGTTAATGTTTGAGAATAGGTAGAAGGAATTTGACTACTTTTTTAACTTTACATTCTGATTGTTAAAAGGATAGGACATAATGTATGATTTTATTTATGAATCTTAAGAGGAGACCATACATTATACTAGGTCATGATACATAAGGATATAATTAGTTGAATGCATTATCAGAAATGTTTTTTAACTCATCCCTAAGGAAGTGCTACAATTTTTCTTCCCTTTGAATGGTGATGGAGAATATACCTGATAAGGAGTTTGAATTTTGTAGTGTCAAATGTCCATTTTTTCAAGGTAGTCTGCCTTTTCTAATAACACAATTCCATTTCCTTTGTCTGGGCATGCTACAATTATGTTTAGATTCTGTGAAAGCTCGTTTAGGGTCGGAAATTCTTCCTTTTCAATAGAGCAAGAATGACAACAGGAATTATGATTGTGAAAAGATGAAATTGTAAGAGTTTTGAATTTACTCTTAAATAAGTCTTGGGTTATGGTAGGATTTTTAGAAGCATTAATAGGTATGTTTGCTATGTTCCTGTATGCAGTGTCAAAAGAACACATGCAATCATTAAAACTTACGTTAATTGGTGGAACAGAAATTTAGATATTTTCCACAGGCAGTTTTGCAGGATTTGGTTAAAGTAACATTACTAAATTAAAGGTTAACTTTTGTGGTTAGTAACTTCACATGGCTTCATGATTTCCATAGATTGTAAATGATCATGATAAGATCTTTTTTATTACATCTAGAAATTAAACCTATTAAATGTATAGAGTTCAGCCAGATAACAGTGTTCTTAAGATAAGTCTTCGTCCTGTTGAATTTTGTTGTAAGGTGACTTTTATTTTTTCTATTTGAGTTCTTCCAGTAAGAATTTTTGACATTACATTATGCAGGTGGTGAGAATTCAAAATTTATCCAGATCTTGCTGTTAGAACTGTGGTCTCATTGTCTGTGCTGCTAACAGATTATTCTTGAAAACTACAAGAGAGACAGATGTCTGACAAAAGAAAATAAAACCATTGCAAGGAAAGTGTAAATTACAGTATGGGTTCTTAAAGTTTTTAACATGAAGTCCTCCAAGACCTTAGATACCACAGCTAAAGACCACCGACCTAATGTTTAGATATATAATTTAAATAATAGTCACTATTCTTTGAAAAAATCTCAAGCTCATTGTGTAGTCATATTTATTGCAGTAAATAAAATGATCACTGAAAATTTTGTTTTGTCCAGTATCAGGAAACTTGTATGTATTAGGCTCCACCAACTCAACCATGGGAACCACTACAGAAATGGGTTTTAAACTTTTTTACATCATAAAATCAAAAAAATCAGTAAACAAACTTTGGTATATATACACTCAATTGTATATATATATATATACAAAAGTACAGCTTTAAGACTAACTTTAAATAAGTCGATAAAAAAGTCTCTATTCTTGAGGATGGTGTTCAGTACCTAATTATTCCGATAGTATATCAACATTTGTACAGAAACACAAAGTATCTTGCATGCTGTAGTGAGAAGCAAGACTATGATGGCGACTTCGGTAAATTGAAACTTTTGCTAAGTAAAAATGGAAGCCAAGAAGTTTCCCATGCTGCTTTGATAGAGACAAGTCATGAAGCAGATTATTTAGCTCTTCTTTTGTGATCGGATGAAGCATTTTATGTTGAAGGGTGCCACAGGAATTGAAATACTAGATAAAGAAAATGAAGATGATTCATTGTCTTCTTTGCAGGATAACTCTTCTTTTTCCCAATTCTCTGGTGGATGTGGTACTGGAAGACCATCTCCATGAGGTACTGGTCTCATTGCAGATGCAATATCTGGATATTTAATGTATTGTTTGGTTTTGCCTGAATATCTAAAAATAGTAGTCACACAAATGTAACAGTTTTGGGGCTCACTCCATATCATAGGAACTGTAAGTGGCATACTTGCTCTCTTCTTATTCAAGCCAGATGTGCAAACTGTACAACGCACATGTGGAGCCCAGTTGTTTTTTTTTTTGTTTTTTTTTGGTAACCAATTTTACACCCAAAATAGTGGTAGTAAGCTACCTTTATCTTGTGTGTGATGTTTTTCTTTCGTGAACCTTTAATATGTTTTCGACAAATGTAGCAAAAACTGGACGATTTTTGCACTTTTGGACTTTACTTGAACTGGAGGCAGCCAGCATTTTAAACAATTTTTTTTTATATATAAAATAATTTATGTTTATACAACTAGAGTTTAAAACATCGGAAAAAATAAGGTTTTGCAGAATTTGTTTATATTGCGAGAATGATAGAGAGGGGCATCTGACTCTGCTCCTTCTATGCTCAATCGAGGGACTTCTTGAATGTTCTAGCAAACTGAACACACGAGGGTTTCGTGATTCCCGGGTGGAGCAGGTGAGCGTAGAAATAAAGCAAAAGTGGTACAATTCGCTACAATTATATCGACAATAAATAGCATATAAGAACAATATATTTGAAATTCTACACAAGTCCAAAAGTGTTGGCCTTTTACTGATTAAACTGCCCAAGTAAATTAAATTTAACAACATAAATCTATTGTACTATGTTGATTGCATGATATTTCACATAGTGCTGATAAAATATTGATATATTACTCAAAATCTAAAGGTGATTGACAGATTCTGACTACATTTTGGAAGTCAGCACCATCAGATTACCCCAAATCACTTGAGTTTTGAAGAAGCAAATTTTTTGTTGAATATGCAGATCAATTATCTTGATAGAGCTGATATATTAACTAAAAGTGCAAATAACCTGGAATAGAAGATTATATCAAATAATGTAAGCTATTTCTAGTGTGGGACCAGGGTTTATGAAATTACTACACCCTGCTCAAGTTTTTATATTTATGGCTGAAAAGTGCTTATATAATGTCGTTCATAATATAGGTACAAAAATTAAGACAAATCCAAATTTGCTTTAATATATTATTGTAGTATCAGCATCATCTATGTATAAAAAAAAACAACTTTTATCAGCCAAACAGACTCATTTCATTCAGAACTGGGATAAAAAATATATGGAACAGATGGTTTGGAATAACAGTATATGTAGAACACTGGTTGACGTTTTTAGACCAGCTTAAAAAATATTTTATTTTATTTATTCAGTTTATAATGAATTTGCATATTTAATGTTTCAAACATTGTAAATAATTCAACTGTTGCTATGAATGGAAAACATTTGATTTTAAAGACTTGGTTTTTCACTTGTCTTTCTATTGAAATTGGTCTGGTATGGCCAGGTGGTTAGGGCGCTCGATTCGCAATTTGCGGCGCGCGGGCTCGAATCCCCGTCCCACCAAACATGCTCGCCCTTTCAGCCGTGGGGCGTTATAATGTGACGGTTAATTCCACTATTCGATTCTCTGCTAAGGTCACCATCAAGCATACGAAAATAATGCTAAGTAGGCCTAAGGCCAACCACCCTGTTAGAAAAATAAAACTGTCTTAGCTGAAGATGACTCCTACCTTGCCAAAACTTATATTTGTGTCCCTCAGTCCTACTATTCTCATTGTTAAATATGAAAAAAAAAAATGATGCATCAACACTGTCAATTCCCTCTACAATCTTAAACACTTCAATCAGATCCCTTCTAACTCTTCTTTTTTCTTATGAGAAAAACAATGAGAGATTTCGACCTATCCTAGTATGACAATCCCTCCATCCCAGGCACCATTTTAGTAACCCTTTCCAACCATTCAATGGCTTTTCTAAAGTAAGGAGCCCAAGACAACACAATATTCCAATTGTGGCCTAACCAGTGACATATACAGTGAAACTATAACCTCTTTAGAGTTGTATTTAATATTTCTGTAAATACAACCTAAAATCCTATTTGCCCTACAACTAGCAACAGCACACTGTATGGATGGCTTCAGAGACTGTTCAACTATTACACCAAGATCCCTTTCTTTTATGACACTGTTAAGGTTATTCCCATCCAAATTATCTTATAATCCATTATCTTGCATTTATTATAATTATTACCCATTTGCCCAACTAATTAATGATCTAAATTATTTTGTAAATCAGCAGCATCCTCTTCACAGCAAGCAACACCCAAGACCTTAATATCATCTGCAAATTTCAGTGTAGCTGCATGAACATCAGTGCTGTGGACTGGTTGTCCTTCTCTGGTCAGCAGTTGTAAATTAGGATGGCTGTGTCTGAACCTTGGGAATCTGATCAGACCATTTAGTCCATTTATTAAATAAGGTATTGCTTATTACATATAAATACACATATATTTAAATATGGCCATTCAACATTTTTTTGTTCTTTTATAGATATTATGCTTCTGTGTCACAGTGAATGGTTAGATGACAACTAGTTGCAGTGTATGCAATAAACACATGAATTTACTCTGATACAGTTATTGTTTCACACAAGAGGGGGAGGGGGGGCTGTCCCATATTGGACTCTTAATATTTGCATTTTATATCCTTTTTATTGACCACTTCCATTACTTTCAGTCACTTTTTCTATGGCTTGATTAAGTTTTATTTATTTATTTAAAAGTAATACATTTTACCATTAAGATTTTTACTAAAATTGGGTCTTTAGTTTTATTTTAGTACTGATATATGAAGCTTATCAAAACTATGATTTGTTTCATGTTTAGTTACTGATTTTTGTTTCTGTTTTATTTTTGTTTCAGGTTTTTGACATAACAAGAAAAGTAACTTATAAAAACTTACCTAAATGGTACAAAGAACTTAGAGAATACAGACCAGAAATACCTTGCCTTTGTGCTGCAAACAAAATAGATGGTAAACTACATGCACTGGTGTCTTTATGCTTAGGCTATTATAAAACTTGTTTTTTGTTTGGTAATTGTAAATAAATGTTAAGGTACAATAAACTGTTGGTATAAACAACAGCTTCAATGATACAATGAACATATAAGAGAAAAACGACAAAACCAATAACATAAGTTATTTTCCAGTTCAAATCAAGAGTGATAAAAATAGGACAGAAATTAAAACAACAACAACAATAATGGCACATATGTTACACTAAGGAAAAATCTCATCAAAAAGATCATAGGTGAGAAAAAAAAAAGGATTGAGCATGTGACTTAAAGGAATGAAATCAAAATTGGCAGTCAAACTGGTAATTACACTTATAGCATTGATAAGAATTTTATAGCAAAAATTCATTCGTTAGTTAGCTTGGCCACATTTTTTGTTCAACTTGGGGCATGATGGTAGGCAAAACAAAATATGTAGCCTATCGGACTAATGAGTGAATATTTACTGTAAAATTTTTATCAATGCTATAAGTGTAGCTGCCAGTTTGGCCACCAATTTTGATTTCATTTCATTAAGTTGCACACTCAATCCTATTTTGGCTGCACCTTTTTTCACACCTAAGGTGTGTTTGATTAGATATCATGACTTCTTGTCAATACACACACCAACAAATCACAGGAAGTAAGAAAGTGGACTCGGTAATAACCAACATTAACTTTAGGATTGCAACTCTATTATTCAGAACAGATCTATACTTTACAGTACCAACCAGGTTCTTTAAAATGTATGGTAGTAGTTTTTCCTCTCTAAAACAGTGTTGATAACTTCCTTTATAGTAACACCATGGAATCCAGATTAACAGTTTCTTGTCATTGCTCACATGCACTCTGTACCATCATATCAAGCATCATTATTTATGCTAATTGCTTAAGCTAACATCACATGACACTAAATGCTCTTTAATTAAGAGGATTTCATAAAATTTAGCAAACTTGGGCTTAAAAGTTGGTAATGAATAATAACCATCCACCCATGTTATTCTTTTGAAAACTTGAGCTAGAAACTGCTAATCTAGTTTGCTAGGCCTGAACATGTGACTTTTGCATAGGTATACACAAAAAATTTGGTTAAAATTGAGCAGTTTTTGTTGAATAACTTTGCACATGTGGCTTATATTTAGACCAAATTTACACCTAATTGTAAGTTATAAAGATCTATCAGTGTACCAAATTTGAAAATAATCCATAAAAGTTAAGCTTCTTTTTCTATCAAATAAAGTTTCCGTACTTTTGGTACTACTAAAAAAAATATATAGGAAGAAATTTAATCAAAATTGGAGATTTTATATCTTGTGTATTTCTTAATGGATTTCCTTGAAATTTGAAATGTGAAGTAAGGATCCAGTAGAGTACATCCACTGAAAATATGTGTTAGTTTGGAAACGACAGTCAAAGCTACATAAACTGGAAAATTGCTAAACTATCACTCTTGTTATTAACACACAGTGTGTCCTGCAGGTTGTTTTGCCTGCACAACACATTACCTTGTGTCTTGATACCAGTGTTTGGAATACAAAGGATAAACTTGCTAAAAAAAACATTACAAGCAGCACAAGTAATTCACTAATTAAAATCAAGAATCATACATTATAATTAGAACTTAAAATTTGTGGAACTTTTGTCAGAAATCAATAAAATTGATAAAAGAGGAGAAACTGATTGTGAAACGTTTTCAAAGTCATTGTTGTACCTTATAAAAAAAAAAAAAATTAAATATCATCCCCATAGTATTGAAATAATGATATTTTTCTATTTTTATAGTGGATTTTAAGGTGACTAAGAAGAGTTTTAATTTTCCAAAGAAGTTTGGCATGCCTTTTTACTTTGTATCAGCATCGGATGGGACAAATGTTGTTAAGGTAAGAAGAAATGTATTATTGTACTTTATTTAGCAGTTAAAGTTTAGTGAACATTCATTTGTTTGTTCAACAAAAAGACACTGTGTTATAGTCTGCTTATTGACATAGGATTTCATTCATGTAAAGATCTTTTCATGATAAACTAGCAGAAACCCCCAAAATATTTGCAGTCAAGTTAATATGTTTATAGCAACAGTAAATACAGGACTTGTAGAATAATACAAAATAATTCTAATCACAGGCAGCAAAGTCTATTTGTCTTAGGCCTAACATTAGTTAACTCTTTAGTAAGTACAGGCTATATTTGATATAGAAATAAATTAACACTGTAACTTGTGAATGATTTTTGCTTTAATTAAGTTAGGGCTAAACTTTATGATACTTTAATGTTAGGTCACAGAATAACATTATGATCTTTTTAATAACTGTAATAACTTTTAATATTTTGTTGTATAAAATGTTTACTAAAATATATTTATATCCACCTTTTGTTTACATCTGTTGACATGAAGTGCAAATGCATGTGCATTTAGATAGTAAGGTTGGCGCACACATAATAGACATATGCAGTTTTAAACTTCTGTTGGTTTGTGTCAGACAATCAATGAAAATTATGGAAAAAATTTTGTAATAATGTTGTTGCTACTTAGAAAGTTTTCTGTTCTTTTATGTTTTTACTTTTGATTTATAGCTATTTTTGCATGAAAATAGTTTTAAGAAAATTTGGAAACAAAATTTCGATTCTTAATCAGCTGTTAATAACTAATCAGCAACTACATTATCTATGTTAGTTATTTCTTACTATTACTCTCATTTTAACACTGAGGATTCCAGTAATTTTGAACTTTGTGGGAAAATTTGTCATTGGACAAGGAGAAACTGTGTAAAAAGAATGATGACTGGTTAATCTAGCACTGCTAGCTATATGAAATACCTAAATCTTTTATTGAGAATTTTTTTTCAAATGTACGAATCTCTTATTGTGAAATAAACAACAACTTCATGACTATTCATGAAAGTTTGTTTCAACGACTGGCTCCTACGAAAGTGAGAGAATTAAAAGCATGACAAATTGAACTGAATTTGAATTGCTACTTACAGATTGTTACTTAATTTTTGTAATTTATATTGCATAAAAAATTTAGAAGTGATTTTTCAAAAGAAAAAATAAATACATTTCATTTCTGCAAATAAATAATTTCAGATTTCTTATAAGTACTAGGACTCAATTAAGCTGCAATCAATTTGAATTGATCTTATTTTCAGTTATTTAAAGAAGCCATACAGTATGCTGTTCAGTATAAGAAAAACCCAACAGATTTCATTGATGAAGTGATGCAGGAACTACAGGTAGGTCCTTATTGATATACCTTTTAGATTTTACCACTAGAGAGCACCACCAAACATTTATTAGAGTAACTTGCTCAAATAATCTCAGAATAATTTGTGTACTTACACCAAATGTTCTATAGAAATGCTACTTTGTAAAATAAAACAAGAGAAACCTCTAAACATTTGGTTTCTTTAACCTGATACTTTTATACCCATAAAATTCTGGGAAGCAAGAAAGTTTATTTTATAAATTGGATTTCCTGCTCACGACTGTGGAGTACAACAAAAAATTTCTTACACCCACATAAACAATTTTAAAAAATGCAAATTTTTGAATAGAATATTAGTTTGTTTGTTTTTGCTGTAATAGATTTTCAAATGTAAAAGAAGTGGATTTCATAACTACAAAGTGAAACCTAAAGAATAATTTGACTTGCACCGTTGTTGATTTACAGAGTAAAATGTTTTCAACTGAGATTTAACAAATATAATTTTGTTAATATTAAATAAAATTGAGCTTGTTATTTCAAATCACTTATTGGTTAATCTGTTGTTATGTTCACTGAAAACCCATTATAACACATTTAAAAAAACACCATTGTAATAGGTTAATATGTCCACATACTTGTGTAGTTTGTTAAAGGTTTTTGTTACATGCTTAACAATGATTAATTTTAAGCTGTCTTTATTTTTTGTTTATTTCAGGGTTAATTAAAAATGTTATTTTTGTAATGAAAGTAATGAAATTTATTATGATTTGACAAATTTGTAGTACTTTGAGAGCAGTGAATTTGATCAAGAGGATGAAGGAAATCAACCCAGCAATCAGTAGAAAGTTCATTAATATTTTGAAAAGAGTTGTCAGTCTTCAGTGCCTTTACTGGATGCCACAAGTCATGCTGTAAACCAGACATTAGGCTCTTCTTGGGCTAAGATTTTATGCCATAGTTCTGGATATGTGTAGGACTGCATTAAGTAGTTCATTATACAATTTTTCCAAGACAAGTTTTATTAGTGAACAACACTTTCATGTGTGTAAAACCATCTGTAAGTGTTATAATAGTGTAAAATCTGTGATGTTAACATTTGATATGTATACACATTTGTTTCAATGTCTGAAAGTGTCACATTCTGTTGGTAATGTTTATTTTGCCAAAAATTAATGATAACTTAGAAACAAACATTGCTTTCAGAACTGTTGTAATTTGTAGAATAACATTCATTAGCTCATTGTAGTCAGTAAACATACAGTAGTGCTGATTTGGGTATGAAGCTTTTCTTGAAGTAATAAAAGTAAGTTTTAAAGTTAATATGCTTTTCAATCTTAAAATTTATGTGGAATATTACAAATTAATTTGTGGATGATTTCTGTTATAAGAGGCAGCTGTTTGATAAAACAACTTAGAATTTTTTGTGATAAGCTCATATATGTTTGTGTAGTTTTTTGTAATAGCATTGAAATATATATAAATAACTTGATCTAAATCTGGGCAGCGTGAGTTTGATCAACATATGCTATAAAGAACAGATGTGAAGAAAAAAAATATATATAGTATAAGTAACTTGATCTAACTCTGGGCAGTGTGAGTTTGATCAACATGTGCTATAAAGATCAGATGTGAAGAAAAAATATATATATAAATAACTTGATCTAAATCTGAGCAGTGTGAGTTTGATAAACATGTGCTATAAAGATCAGATGTGAAGAAAAAAAATATATATATATAAATCTTTAAAAAAAAGAAATATGCAGTGTGCACTATTTATCCTCAGGGAAATAGTCAATGAAATGTGTTATTACATAGAATCAAATAATATTAAATATTATGCTTTATGTATTTTATAACACAGCGCTTAAAACTTTAAACATTATAAGACAGAATTATCTGTAGGATATTTAACTTTGATCCCATATTTTTCATGGATTTTTAATGATAGTTAATGATGAGAACTATGCATAGGAATTTTTGTTAAAAAGAGAGAGAGAGAGAGAGAATCATTTTAATGATTTTAACTAAAAATGTTGACTTTCTAAATGGTTTTAGTATTTTAGGGAATATTGTTATTTCTTATTCCTCACTGTAATATCGACTTTACATATCAATACTAATATGCTTATACACACCTAGCATCTTACATGTAACTTTGAACAAGTAATTTTGGCATTAAATTCCTTTTATTCTTTGGTTCAGATTTTATTTGCAATTCATAATAGAGAATAAGATTTATAAGCATTAAACAAAGATGCTTAGATTGATCAAATATACATCTTTCTAATTTATAACTTTACTATCTTCTAATTGAAATGTTACTAACACTTGTGAAGAATTTGATGTGCATAGTATTTAGGATTTAAGTTATGAGATGAAGCATTCTGTGATTTTTTTCTTATGCAATGATATACAGGATAGTGCAAAAAAAATTTTTGTAGTGCATGTTGTTCAATCATAAATATAAAAGAAAAAGGTAATGAAAAGTATTTTTATAATGAACTCTGGGAGTGAAAAAATACACAGATGAAAAGTTAACAGATTTATCTAGAACAAGAAACTACAAATTGCTAAATGTTCAGAATATTTTTTTTAAACCAGCCCTCTCTGTGGTGGTAAAAATGCACATTTCCAATGGCATTCTTGAAGGTATACTTACATTCTTCATGAAATACTTTTTTGAAACGAAACCTGACTCTTTTTTTTTTACTTCATAAGCATGTGTGTTTATTATATAAAAATATTGACCTCATGTTGAGGTCAATGTTACTTTTAAGATCAATAACTAGTTGCTATTACCAGTTTACAACAGACTTTTGAAAGTTCTAGTTGTGTGAGAGAGGTTAAGAAAATTAATTGTGTGTATTTCATAGAAGTACACATAATGTGTAATGTGTATTTCATTATCCCTAACTTCAATAAATTATGTTACATAGTGTATATGTAAATTACTGTTGTTATTTTTTCTGTGTTAACTTAATAATCACTTACAAGGTTACTTAATTTTTATGTAATTGTGATTTAGAACAGTATTAATGGCATCCATACTAAATTGATGGCAAGTCTAAATTTTAAGCAAGTGTCAAAAATGTTTGTTAAATTATTTAACGTGAATATACACACACTAGTAGCATTGTGACATTTTGAATTATATACCAACCACATGTACATGTATACTTATATGTAGTATATTGCATGATTTGATTTCCTATTAAAAACATGTTCTAAATATATGTGTTTTTTCTCTTGATATTTATGTTTAAATCAACCCTTTTTTTTTCTTTCAAATAAAAAATTTCAGGCTAGAATACAAATTGAATGCAGTCACTGTGTCAGAAAGAGAAAATTTTATCATTTTCATTGTGGCTCATCTTGTCTCTTGTACAGCTGTTTCAGCCAGTTGTGTATTTTTACACTTGTACTGTCTAGTAACATTTTTTTTATTTGTAACACAAACTAAATCATTTTAAAACCAATATTTTCAAAGTAAAATTGTTTTTCAAGATCATATTGGTGGTTGCTGACATTAAAAAATATTTGTTGTTAATAAAGTGTAATTTAAGGTTGTTGAAGTTACATGTAAGACACAAGTTTGTGTGTGTGTGTGAAACTTGGTTTGCTGAGCTTATGTTTCCAGGGTTTCATATACTTGTTTTGAACATCAGTGGAAGTAAAATCCTAGCAGTAGTGACCTCATTTTATGTGTTACTCATAATATCGATCTGAAATATTAATATAGTGTAAATAATAAATGAATATACTTTCAATTACTTTATTTTTCACCTTTTATTGTAATTTGCAATGATCATTACCTACTTGCTCATTCACTGATAGCTAAATTTTAGTGAAATTTGGCATTCATATAATATTAAACGATAAACTTTATTTATCATATCATCCATCAGCACTAATTTTATGAACATTGTGTATTTGAGGTCACAGTAGAACCTTTTAGATCTTTTAGGGTTTTATTAAACCTTGTGTGTGAATAGTTATAAGCAATGACCAAATATATTTCATTAAGAACCCTGAAATGGAATGTTAAAAGGGGTGAAATCAGTTATTAATATAGATTTTAAACTAGGTGACCAGATGCAAGGTTATAAAGTAACCAGAAAATAAACTCTGATGTTTAAACAGAAAAGATTCAAGTGAAAAGGCTAAACTTAGTCATGTTGATAATTGTAGCTGAAATCATGGATATCAATGCTGGTGTCTTAGCAGCTTTAAAGACAAAATGTGTCATACGAAGGAATATACAGATGAAGTGGTTTCTTTTTTAAAATTGTAAGAGAAACATTTTAAAAACAGTACATTATTTACCCATTACTTAATGTTATTGAAGAATTCAAGCTTGCTTTGAATGAACTGCAAATCAAATATGCTTTTACTTGTAGTTGAATTGTTTTGTGTAATGTAGCTTTGCATTCCAAGAATATTAAATTGAGAAGGTATGAAAAATAAAATTTATAATGATTTGAAATATTAATACATGAAATTAAAACTAGGTGGGAGAAAATCTTTCCAGTTGTTGATTATTTAGCACTATATAAACATACTATTAAACAATTCTGCAAGTTTTCAATGTCCTCTAGCTGCCCACCCTATTGTAGGGGCTCATGAAGTTAAGTTTGTTTCATGTTTTCACATTCTCTCATTGTAATCCTGTTGGACTGAAGTAAAATTTATTGTGTTTTTGAATCTCCAGCGAGCTTCCATTATCTCAAAGGGAAAGAGGTTCTCTAAAATTAGGCACGATTATACTGTAAGTAGTAATGAAGTACTTGTGAAAGCAACAGAGCTTGACTATGTGGCAAAAAATAGATGAATTTCAAAATTTTGTTACTTAGTATAAAATGGATACATGCATATGTGTGTATCTACATTGTAAAGATTATTTTATATTAATAATGAATATCACATTTCAAACTATTACATTTCTTCTGTGATGACATATTCCCATGATATTAACTTAAATCAACTTGTAGGAGTTAAATGGCTCGTAGAAAAGTAGGTGTAGATAAAATATTTTCTATAACTCTTGTGTTGGGGAAGTATTCAAGTTGGAAGTACTGATTAAAAAAATCAAGTAAAGGTATAGCTTAGTGGTTACTGTGCCGAATTGCAAGTTGGATTCAAGATGTGATATGCTGTGGGAGCATTATAGCTGTGACAGTCAATCCCACTATTTGGTTAACATAACATAGGACTTATTGGTCCATGTAGGGTGTTCCATCCTCTAAACTAAACTAAAACCATTAATAAATAAATTTAAAAAATATTAAAGCCAGCCCTTATCATTCATATCCTTATCAAGCTTTTTCTTAAACTAGCCCCCAGTTGCACAGCAGTATGTCTGCAGACTTACAATGCTAGAAACTGGGTTTTGATACCCATGGTGGGCAGAGCACAGATAGCCCATTGTGTAGCTTTTTGCATAACTTCAAAACATTCTCTTAAACTCACTTAAATTTACTGCTTCCACAACATCTGAAGGCAATCCATTTTGTCATTACTATTCCTAGCAGTACAGTAGTGAATGTACACATTGCTCCCAGGACAGAAAAGCCACATGATAAACATGTAAAAATCATAATTTTGGCTAATGAAATCCATCCCATTCAATTAATTTAGACAAAATTTTCATGTTGCTTTAGGAACATTATGGAAACTCTACAGAAGGTATGTGGACCTAGTAGTGTTGATAACAGAAATGGTCAAGATAGGAAGCCTAAATTCTTTGAAAATGATGTTAAATAATTCAGGGAATGCTGTTTACGTGGTACACAGTAATCTTGTAGAAATCTTGTCAATGACCTACATGTAAATACAGGTGTGAATGTTATCTCAAAAACAGTAAGATACACTTTGTTGTACTGCTATCTTGTATTAGTAACTTGAACTACTTCCACATAGTTTTCTTTGTACTAACTGGATGGCACTAGCATTGAGTCAGATAACAGTAAACAGCCAAGAACAATCTAGATTATTCTTGAGACCACACAAACATTTCATAGATTTGGTTTGGTGTGCTGAATTAATTCTGTAGGTTACTCCAGTTATCCCACTGAGGTTCCAGTATGTATGCTGTTATCAGCTTTACATAATGATCATCCTTTTAGAATTCTGTGTTCAGTGGAGTGGCTAAAACGTTTAGAGCTGAACATATGTACTAAAAGGCAGCTAACCAGTAAAGACTTGTGGTTATGGTCACTGATGTTTATGTGATGTGTATAGATTTCACTAGCTACTACTGAGCATGATTTTGATGGTTCATAAACCTTACCACCATATTGAAGCTTGAACAATCTGGGCTATTTGAGATTGTTGAAACATTGTATGTGATTCTGAATAATCTGGTTTACTTAGCATTGTTGACACATTGTATAAATGTGTGTGTGATCTTGACAAATTTGTATCTTCAAAATGCATAGGATACAAACTAACTGCCTATTTCATTCTCACTAACACTTTTACTCTGGTACATCCATTGGCATATTGTTTATTATTGTCCAGTAATGCTTGAGTCTATGCTAGTTTCATGCTGTGCATTGTTTTTACTTTGTTAGGGCATTTGTTTACACAACCACGGACAGACGTACAGGTAAAAACATGAATAACAAAGTGTTTAGGTCATGAAAGATAATGGCATGAAAAAGTTCCTGGCAGTTATTTCAAGGCATACTATGTAAAGACTCAACTAGTATTGTGATGCTGACTGCATAAAATAGACAAGTGACACTTTCTTTAATAATGAGATATGTATGAACAGCATGCTTAAAAGAATAGTTCTTGTGTACATTTGTTTCACACATTGCTTTTTGAATGATAAGTATGTTTTGGCCCTATTTTTGTAATTAGTGTAATGTGATGGGTTAGGCTTTCATTTCTGTTTGTAAATAGCTTGAAATATCCAAAGGTACATACCTATCTTTCAGTAAAGTTATTAATATTTCTTTTTAAAGTAAAAAAAAAGGCTTTATGACATTTATTAAAATTAGTTTTGCCATTAAATTATGTGCTGATATGTAATACATGAGTTAACCTTTCATTTGACATTAGGAAAAGTGATTATATATAAGTAATAAGACATCTATCATGATTGGAGTTTGAGCCATTGGCCCTTAAAGCACACTATTCCAAGACTAATCCTTTATTAACTGAGCTAGCGGAGCACTTATTCCTAAGGTTTATAATAACCTCTTGTTAGATAAACATAAGTCATTTTTATTACTTAATAAAATGATATTAAAGTTTCATTAAAATAGGTGAATAAGAAGTAAGGTTTTAGAATTCAACTTAAGTGGGACACAGTAGGTAATTTAATTTCAATTTTCCATATAATTAACATAAATGTACCTTAGTTAACCACAGTAACACTTTTTTTTAAGATAGAAAATTTATACTTACTGCTGAAGATTATTTCTTAATAGATATCAGCCAGTCACATCAGTTATCAACTTATGCATTAAACCTTTTTAGATATGCAACAATTGTAGATAGTGAATCGGTTGTAGTTGGTAAGTCTTTACTTTTAGCATTATAATACTGAAGTTTTCTCATGTGTGTATTTTATTTAATTGGTTCTCATTAGTATATGCAAGTTACCCTAAATTGTAATATTATACTTCTTGATTTTTTAAACATTCAGATTTTGTTTCATCTTGATGTTTTTGTTTTTTAATTGTTGAAATATTGTATTTATCTGTGACTTTATTTTTGCTATTGTAAAACAACTTTAAACCCATGTAAATAAAAATTCATATAATTTTTAGTATAATATTTCATATGTGGTATGATTTTTAGGTTCTGTATTATAATTGTGCACAGCTTTTATTATTTGGGTATTATTTGTGACTTAATAACCTTATTGTTTGTTTTTAATTAAAACTAGATTTTTGGGATACAGCAGGACAGGAAAGATTCAGTAATATACATCCAACATACT